AGCCAAACAAAGTTACCCGGGATTTGATATGCATCCTAACATCGCGAATCTTTATTATCGGGGCGTTGATCACCGCATCACTCGCCTCAAGTTCCGTCAAAATAGTTTCATCTTTTTTCTCCGGCACCACCTTGGGTTCTGGCTTATTCTGAAACGGAATAAACTGAATTTTAATTCATTTATTCTCATGTTATTTTAATATGCTATGCAGGATGGTGCACTGTGCGTTTCGTTATCATGGAAAAGGAACGTGAGTGAGTAAAGAACCCCGTTACGTGTAGACAGGTGTCATGCATGATTCATAATGAAAGTTTACACCGTCAGTACTTGGCTAGAAGAGAGGTCGACAGAGAAGTACTGCGATTTCGATATTTATTTGTGCGAAGCGAAACTATATCTGTACTATTGATGCTCGACACAGAGGTGAATCTTAGCAACATGGACTGACGGATGAACTGGTTCGATAACGGACAAACCCGTCTCGTGAGCGAATTTCCTTTTAGTAAGGCTTGTTCGTTTTTAAACTGTCCTAGTCTTCTTCTACGTTGGCCAGCAGTTCGATACCATGAAGGAAACACTTTGTCTTTTATCTTCTCGGCCGTTTTACTGAAACGTAAGAGGCGCCGCTGGATTAGATATTCGTACAGCTTACGTACTCCAGTAGTTGATCATTTGATCATTCCGGATCACTTCCTGTCGATGACTGTAGGAAGACCAGTTCAATGCAAGATATCCGTGTGAAGAATTAAATTCCATCCTGCTCATAATGGTGATGAACTATGCCTGATAGCGTATGTAACTCGTTGATATCCAATTGCTGAAAATGCAGGAAGATCAATGTCTCGATGTCGCAGAAGATGAATAAAATTTTCCGGCAAAAGATATTTATTGTGTATTTAGTAAAATAGGGGTAAGTTTGCGACCAGACACTAGCAATGCATCTCATGCAAAAATGACGATGATGACTAGTGAGAAGATGTCGAATAACAGTTTACTGTTCAGCCAAATAAAGATTGCTGAAGAATGCCAGAACAT